TGATTGAGGTTGTTAGGAACATGTTGAGCTTAATATTTCTTGGCCTGTGGTTAGAATTCACCCAAAAAGTCTCTTGTAGACTGAGGGGAGACGTATACATTTCTTCTATCTGCATCCATGGCTTTTGATGGTCTCGATGTAGCATTGATCCCACTTGTGCCATTATAGTAGCACAATAGTAGCTACGGAGGTGTGGGAAGTTTAATCCTCCTAGACAGGAGGGTTGATGCAATATTGATTTATTCTGGATTTTTTCCCCTCCCAAAGAAATCGCATGAGTGTGTTTTGCCAGGTACTTGTGTCTTTTTTCGGAATAGGAATCGGTAAAGTGCGGAACAAAAAGAGGAATTTTGGTACTATGAAACTTTTCACTAGGTGTAACCTATCAGCCAAAGTTAGTAGTAAGGCATTCCATTTTAGCATATCTTCTTTTATTGACGTATGAATTCTGTGATAGTTATATTTTGCCAAGTCCTTGAGGTTTAGGGGTACAACTACCCCCAGATGCCTTCAGCTTTCTGTGATCCACTTAAAATCAAAGGATGATTTAATGACTATATCTGTTTGTTTTGTGATCTTAATTGGATAAATTTCCGATTTTGAGAGATTAATCTGTAAGCCAGACACTGCTGAGAAGCTGGACAAAGATCTGTTTAGTGTTGTGATGGAATGAACTGGGTTTGAGATGTATAGCGTAAGGTCATCTGCATACAGGTTGATTCTATGTTCCTGACCCTTGATGGTGATGCCCCTGAGGATTAGATTGGACCTCAGATCTTCTGCCAAGGGTTCCACAGATAATGCAAAGATTAACGGGGATAAGGGGCATCCTTGTCTGGTTCCTCTGGAGATGTTGAAATACCTCGAATTGGTATTGTTGACCCTAACTCTTGTCCTGTTATTTTTGTATAGAGCTTGTATTCCTCTTAAAAAGTTTTCTCCAAACCCGATTTTCCTGAGTAGTGCCAGTATGTACGATATCTCCACCGAATCGAACGCTTTTTCGAAGTCCAGCGCCAAAATCAGAGACTCTTCCTTAGCTCTCTTCCCATGCACGATGATGTTTAAGGATCTGCGGATGTTATCTGATATTTGCCTGTTTGGGATGAATACTGTTTGATCCGGGCTGATGTACTGCGCAATAAATACTTTGATTCTGTTGGCTAGAATGGAGGTGAATATCTTATTATCATGATTTAATAGGGAAATCGGTCTATATGAGGCTGGGTTAGTAGGGTCCCTATTATCTTTGTGGATCACCACAATTGCCGAATCTGACCAAGAGGTAGACATATCCGCAGCTCCATTTTCCATTAAAGCCGCCTGCAATTTGCCAGTTTGGTGTAGTGGTTAAGTGTGTGGACTCTAATCTGGGAGAACCAGGTTTGATTCCCCACTCCTCCACTTGCAGCTGCTGGATGACCTTGGGCAAGCCATAGTTCTGTCAGAGCTGTTCCCTCAAGGACAGTTCTCTCAGAGCTCTCTCAGCCCTGCCTACCTCACAGTATAAATCCAATCTCTTCTCTTCTTCTCTCTTCTAAACGTAACTAGTAATCATTCAAGATAGAGTAAGTTCCAGGGGAAGTGCAGGAGCCTCTTTCCTCTACCTCACTCTCAATTAAAACCAATGATTATAATGAACAAAAGGAACAAACTAACAATTTCAAAAAATACCTTTATTCCATTATTAAATGGCACAGACCTTTAGATGTAAACTCTGGAAATTTTATAGGAGGAACCTGGTGTGTAATTTCATTTGTTAACTTTGAATTTAAGGATTCAGCTCTTGTGCACTGCTTTCTAAGCTCACCGTTAGGTGTAAAAGGTGCAGAAATGCCAATAAAGAACTTTGATCAGTAATCAGAAACTATTCCACTACAATCCCATAAACACTGGCAGAAAAACCTGTCATTCGATCAGTGTCTTTGCCATTCAAGTAAACAGCATGTGCACAATTAAATAGATGATTAGAGTTTATTTTCAAAATGGAATGGGGACTTTCCCCAGAAGAACAAAGCCATACTTTCCAGCACTAACAAACATCTCATCCCTGCAGTTGGAATACACCAGTGTGGTCGGATTCCCGGCACTACGAGCAGAAGCAGGACTGCCACAAATGGCTTCTTTCTTTTGGACACTCCACACCACCATGCTGCCAGGAATGGGAGAGAATTTGGATTAATTAACTTCCACGCATATTTGCAGAAGCAAATTCCACTGAATTCAAGTCCACATATGTTTATGACATTATGAAGTACAATTGAATGTACGCATGAGGAAACAGAGCACAACGTTCTTCCAGAGGAAATAGATTCAGGCGGGTAGCCGTGTTGGTCTGAAGCAATCTAACAAAGTTTGAACCCAGTGGCACCTTTAAGACCAACAAAACTTAATTCTGGGTATTAGCTTTCATGCGCATGCACATTTCATCAGATCTGATGAAGCATGCATGCACATGAAAGTTATACCCAACATTAAACTTTGTTGGTCTTAAAGGTGCTACTGGACTCAAACTTTGTTCTTCCCAAGGTAAAGCCTGCTATCATAAAACAGTAGGGTGTGAATAAATTTCAAACAGTTAATCTCTTTGCATGTCACATGGCAATACAATTGTTATAATAAAAGTACAGCCTAGCTCTAAGACTAGCTAGGCCAGCTAACAATATAATGTATTGACAGCAGCACTGCCATGTCAGAAAAATGAATAACACAAATATATTCAGGTGTGGCAAGAAGATACACTGGTCCCAATATTGAGATACATGTTGCCACTAATATGATTCAGGCCACCAGACACAGGCTTGTCTAATCCCCTTTTCCTCATCTGTAAGCATAAGACTGGTCCTATCAAATTCAGTTTCTCAGTAGTGTTTTGCTGAGTCAGGCCAGGGTGCAGCTTCTTACCAGGAATATACTTTGTATATCATGGTGCTGTATAACTGCTTTTCAAAGGGAGCACTTCAGTCAAGATAACTGCTTCTACCAAGCCTGCAAAACTTGTGACCCTCTAAGTCCCTGCAGGGAGGGAAGGAGTAGAAGGAACATCTAGTCTATTCTAAGACACTTCACGTCCCTCCAGGGAGAAAGAATGTATGCAGCATACAACCTATACTGTGGCCTATCAAGTGCTTTGCAATCTCTCTCTTCAGTCCCAAGCATGCAGCAAAACACAGAGACCATCAGTCATCTGGCAGGCCACAATATATGACTGGTGAGACACATTCAGCTCGGTGGATCACAAATTCTGCAGACCTCCTTGCACAGTGTCATTTGAATGTGGTTTTTATCTTTTCTGTCCTAAATTATCTCATCCCACTAGTTTTGCATGCTTTGTCAGCTGTGTGTGTCAGACTTGTATACAATTATTCCAGCATCACAAAGCCTCACAGTAAGGAAAAGTAGTACTGGAAAGACTCAACATCAATCGAAGACTCTCAGTACTCTATTCTCTTAGTACCCAACTGTAATGTACTAATTCCAGACCACGTGCAGGGCAAGGGCTCCACGCGGTCCTCAGAAGCCGTCGAGCTTCACTTCCAAAGACAATGAACTCTGCGGATCCTAGACCGCACCAATAGGGGGGCTAGGCTCCCGGCCGAGAGCCTATGGGACTCTTGGTCACTGTAAATAGCCAATACAGGGAGTGGGGTGTGTTTGGGGTGTGGGTGTCCGGACACATATAAGCCAGCCTGCGAGCCGAGCAAGTTGTCTTGTTCCTGATCCACAAATAAAGTATGAGAGCTGTTTTCACTCGTCAGTCTCAGTACTTTTCACCAACTGTGCAATGGCAGTCTCCACACTAGGCATAAAAGGAGAGAGGAAGTCACTAATTTAATGACTGTTACCTTCCATCATCCTGACCTCCCAGTGACACAAGGTATAGGTCATTTGGAGAGAATGCGAGATTTTCAATTTTGCCTTTGTGAAGAGACAACCGAGCCAACATTTCTCTTTTTTGGTAGTCCCATAAAATAATGTCTGCCTGGGGCAGAAAAAAAAGGGTCAGCAAGACAAGTAGTACTTAGGACAGCACCAAAGTTTGAGAGGTAAAAGATATTTAGAGCCAAAAAAAAAAATCAATTTAAAGAGCCATAAACACGCCTTTTAAAAACAATCTATCAGCATGGTCATATCATATAAAGCCTCACTGAGACAGAAAAGGCTGATTGTGTCACTACCCTGAATGGAAGAAGATCTCACAAATCTGACAGGTGCATTCCATTTCACAGACAAATGGCAGAATCAAAAATGGACCAAGATAGGGTAAAAGAACTGAAAACAAGTGACTGATTAATTATCTACATTTTAAAGTGTAGAAGAGCTGCCGATCTTCTGCCCTGTGGCACACAGATTAAGAAGTTAAGTGTCTATCATTGGCTTCTATAAAAAAGTCAAGAGGCTGTAAGTGATTTGCCCAGAATCACATATACATTATACCACGAGGCCATTCAAAAACATAGCACTGATGCTTCCCTTGTATGACTTTTAAAAAACCCATTATAGTTCAGTATTTATGTTATCTTTCTATCTCATGCTGAAATGAGAATGTTCTTATTTTTGCTGAGACAAAATTTCCATCAGAGAAACAACACAGTCCTAGTCCTATCAATTAGCCCAACTGCAGACAAATAAAAAGGTTACAACTATGATTGTAGCTTACAGGTATAAAGGTATGAGATCTAAATGGGTTCAACATACACTATTTAAAGCCTACACCAATAAGACCAGGCATGAGAAAGTATCATATTTTCCTCATGTCATCATAGCTTCCCTCAGAAAATATGTATAGTTTTAAAAAGGGGCCCTCATGTACCTTGAAGCCCATGAATGTGATCTGACCAGAAGCCACATAAGATCCACTTGAAGAAACCGTGACACAGGAGACATTGTTGGTGTGACCATGTAAGAAATCCTGAGTACGAACATTTATGCCTTGCACGATAACTGTACAACCCAGTGGATAGATGAAGTGCTCCCGATCTGGGTGGCAGATGAGACCAGATGGAACATGCCCTGAAAAGCAAAAGCGCAGGAAAGAGTATCATGTCACTGAGGAAAGAATGTGAGGTGCTCTGGATTTTAGTTACATGCACTTTTGTTGCAGGATGCAGAGGTTCTTTCAGTGCATTTTTATTGGTTTCCAACATGCAGTGAATGTCAGCTTATACGCAAATCCCCTAAACACAAGAAGTTCTCCCATGCTGTCCCACATTAACACATGTCCATAAAATATACCAGTTATTTGGTACTTCTTTATTTGATCTATATTCCACAATGATTCTGCCCCATTGAGATTCTCTCCCAAACCCTCTTTTTATCAGACTTCAGGCAGAACGAGTTGAAGCTGAATTGAAGAGGTGATGCTGGTAAGGAAGGCTGATGCTTTGAAAGGACTCTAGACCCACCTGCTTTGGATAGAGTAGAGTTGGCTGCAGAGCAGGTTAAGAACTTGGAATTGCTCATGAACCCAGCCTGGCTATTTGAAAAGCAGGCTGACAGCCTGCTCAAGAGCAGTGTTCCCTCTAAGCTGAGCTAGTGTGAGCTAGCTCACAGTTTTTAGCCTCCGGCTCACACATTTTTGTCTTCGCTCAGGAAGGATGGCTCCAGAGCAAACTAATTTATGCAGTAGCCAAATCGCTTGCTCACAACTTTAATGCCAGTAGCTCACAAAGTAGAATTTTTGCTCACAAGACTCCACAGCTTAGAGGAAGCATTACTCAAGAGTGTTTTCTATTAGCAGCATCTGATTCATTAACTCTCTGTATTTTCAGACTCAGCCAAACTGGACATGTTAACCAATGCTTTTATAGCATTGTGGTTGGACTACTGTAACATGCTCTGCATGGAATTGACTTTGAAGACAACCCAAAAATTGCAACTGGTTCAGAATGAGGCAGCCCAATTGTTGCCAGGAGACAGCCAATAGGAACATGCCTATTTTAAAACAGCTTCATTGGCTGCCAGGTAGTTTCTGAGTTCAGTGTGCTAATTATGACCTTCAAAGTCCTTCATGGCCTAGGACTCACATATCTGAAGAACCATCTCTGTCCATATGTCCCCATGAACTACTGTTTTCTAGCTGTCACCTACTGGTTGTTCCCCTACTTAAGGCTGCTTCCTTGGCATCTATCAGAACCCATTCATTTTCAGCAGTGACTCCTATCTTGTGGAAGAGGCTGCCTGAGGATGTGAGCTGGTAGAAATGTGATCATTTCTAGGAAGCACTGTACGGCTGTTTAATTCACTAGGACATTTATTGGGGTTTGAGCTGCCAGGATTATGGGGTGATGTTAGGAGGGCTTTGTTGTAGTATGGATGGTTTTAATTGAGAATGGTAAATCACCATGAGCTACAGGGTATAAAGGCAGGGCATAAATACTTTAATAAATATGGCAAATGAATGTTGAATTTGGTCTAGTCTGTAGTTTTAGGGCAGAACTCAGTGCTCAGGTTGATTCCCTGACCACTGTGTGTTCAAAGATCTGTGAGAGACAGAAGGAATTTGTTCTGAACCTTTTTAACTATTTAGTCTGAAGTCTCTTGGCTAGAAGACAGCTGGGAGAATGTTGAGAGATCCCGAGTCATAGTGGGACTGCTGAGTAATCCAGTTGTAGATACATCTTTTCTTCTATCCTCACATGTTCTCCAAATTAAAGCCCATAAATCCATTTGACTTTTGTAAACTAATCTGTTTTTGTTTGCTTATTTTCCATGGTCTGCCTTCTACAACGATGAGTCCATTATCTTCCACAGAGGAAGCAGGAAGCCTGAACAGAACCTGATTCCCACCTTAACAAAAAATAAAGACCTAAGGAGAATGGGTTTATTGACAACTTCAAGATGCCTCCATGAAGAACTCAGTGACTTCTCAACCTTCCACCCTCAAACCTTCACATCCTACCAACCCCAACATTTCAAATCCCACTAGACCTCAAACAAGACTCACTGAGCTTAGGTGCCAGCACCTAATCTACTGAAAGACTATGAATAATAGTGTATTCCTGAACATGTGCAGAGTGTGGCTGTTGCACACACAGCAACCAGAAACAACTGTCAGCCTTTAAGGTTTCCCAGGCATCCTGCCCTGCCCCGCCCCGCCCCGCCCCCAATCCATTAGCTACATTTCTTCCTTTCTCCAAGGAAATTAGGGTAGCATCTGTGTTTCGTTCCTCACCCATCACCATCTTCTGTGTGGTAGGTTAGGATGACGGACAGCGTGACTAGCCCACATATTAATTCTATGGCTGGAGATTTGAACCCAGTCATTTCCTGCCCTTCCTCCAGCCCACGGGGCGCTACCATTGAAGCCGATGACCGCCTCCAGCTGGAGTCCGTTCAGGTGGTCCTCGGACGATTCAGACTCTCCAGTCGCCATGGTGGCTTCTCCTGCTAACACCTCACTCGGCGGCAGTGTATGTTTGTTGCTATGGAAACTGCGCCGGCGCTACGTGGGCCCGAGCCAGTAGCGCATGCGTAGAAACTGGAGAGGGAGTGGGCGCGGCTTGACGGTCAGTGTTTTCGGCAGGGCAGGTGTGTTTTGTTTTGCAGTGAGAGGCAAGCGCGCGGAGTGCTCGTGGGCTACAGTACAGAGGGAGTTAGATTTGATGAGGAATGCTCGTATTTAGTTGCTGGCATGGGTGGTATGGCGCTTTAAAGAGCACGCGGCATAGATTACTTCGAACTAGACCACAAAACAGGCATATAAAGCTGCCATACCTCTGAGGTTTTGTGGCTGGAGATACCCGTTTTACTCAGCCCCGCGGGAGCGGCGTTTCATGTTTCGTTAGGAGGAAGCTTGATAGGTGACTGCCCTTCGCAAAAGCTGTAACTTGGGTTATCCAGACAAAGCAGACCCCCCCCCCCTCCATATCTGAAGGACTCCCACACAAAATTGCAAGAACATGGTTCCAAAGAACGGATCCTCATAGATCCTCAGGGTTTTTCAATTGTGTCACCCCAAATGCATCATCAAATCACATAACACATCCACAGTCACAGCTTGTGCCACAAAATCATGGTTCCACAGATTCGTGGTGACACCATTCTGCAAAAACATGAATGTAAAGCACGGATCCCTATGGATCCTTGGGGGTTTTGTTTTGGCACATCCCAAACATACCATGAAATCCCATATCATGTCCATGGCCACAGCCTACACCACAGAATTCACAGTGCCACGGCGTGGTAACACCATGCTGCAAAAACATGGTTCCGAAGCTGGGATCCTCATGGATTCTTATGATTTTTGCATTGGGTCACCCCATGTCCCACTCTGGAGGTCACGGGCCATGCGGATCGCCCCCCCCAACAAACCCCGCAAGACCTCCGCGGCATGACTCACCAGGAGGAACGGAGGGCAACGATCTGGTGAGGGAGGCAAGACCGGCGACCCCTGCCGTGGCACGCTGTGTCAGCCGAGCCAGGAGACGGGACCGGGGTCCACGGAGCAACCCCTTGGAAGAAGAAAGGGATGGCGGCGACTTGTCCAGAGGGCCGAGAACGGGCTCAGAGGAGCGAGTGCAGCCGCAGAGCGGCGGCGGTGGCGCGGCCCTGGGGCCGCCAGAACTACCGCCGGCCTACCCAGCATTCACCCAAGAGACGCCCCACCGGCGTCCCGGTAGATAAAGGAGGGTGTGGCCCAAGCCGGGGGCGGATGGGCGGTCCTGGGAGCGGGGCGGGGAGATAAAAGGCAGGATGGAGAAGGGGCCAGAGAGGAGGAGTACGCTGTGGAACGAAGGAGGACACTGAGAGAGAGACACACAAAGACGGCAGAGAGAGGGGAAAGAAGTCTGCAGTATGCTGGCAGAGAGACACTCGGGGTGACCTTAAACCCCGTCCCCTGCCTATCTGAGGCCCCTCACTCCCTCTCCCTTTTTGGAGCCTGCCACTTCCAGGGCTGGCTGTCCTGCAGGAATCCGGTCGATACCCCGACAATATGGCCACAGGGGGCGCCACACCAAAGACCAAGGGAGAGGCCGACACCCCAACATCACCATCAAATTACATACCTTGTCCATGGCCATAGAATGCACCACAGAAATCACATGTCCACGGCTTCGTGGCGACACCATGCTGCCAAAACTTGGTTCCAAAGCATGGATCCTCATGGTTCCTCAAGGTTTTTGCGTTGGGTCACCATGAGCACACCATCAAATGTCATATCATGTCCACCGGCACAGCCTGAACCACAGAAATCATGGATTCACTGCTTTGCGGCAACACCATCAACAAAAACATGATTCTGAAGCATGGATCCCCATGCTTTCCTGAAATCTGTTTTAACTGATATGACTAATACAGTTGTTAATACAGTTATTAAAGTCCAACTCAAATTTACTTTCATTCGGTATTAATCAGTGTCCAAATAAAAAAAGCAAAAATCACCCTTCATGTAACCTTAATATATTTCTCAGCTATTCATCATTACTCATAAACAGTTAACAAAATAATTATCTGAGGTTCCAATTTAAATTATAGCTGTAATCTAATTCCTTTATTTCTTATTTTACAGCTTAGCATCTATTTAAACTAATATACCTTGTGTAATTATTTGAATCTGACTTAGATTAACTTACATTCAATGTTTAACAAAAAAATCCTTATGGAAATTAAATAAACCATGGCTGCGAGAGTTGGACTATAAGGAAGGCCGAGCGCCCAAGAATAGATTCTTTTGAACTATGGTGCTGGAGAAGACTCTTGAGAGTCCCTTAGACTGCAAGAAGATCAAATCAGTCAATCCTAAAAGAAATCAACCCTGACTGTTCCCTGGAAGGCCAGATAATGAAACTGAAGCTCAAATACCAAATGAGAAGGGAGCACTCACTGGAGAAGACCCTGATGCTGGGAAAGATTGAAGGTCAAAGAAGACGGGGACAGCAAAGGATGAGATGGTTAGACAGTGTCATAGATGCAACGAACATGAAATTGAGCAAACTTCAGAGGACAGTGGAAGACAGGAAGGCCTGGCGTGATCTGGTCCATGGGGTCGCGAAGAGTCGGACTCGACTGTGCGACTGAACAACAAAAACACTGATATGTTTCCCAACCACTCATCATTACTCCCAGATATTTAAAAGACATAATCCAAAGTTCAAATCATATTGCATTGTTCTTTTCCTGATTTTCTGTAGCTTCTTTTTTGCCAGAACCATATTTAAATGTCTTAGTTCTTTGTAAAGGTGAAGTTCCACTTTTAACTCTTGTCCTTTTACTTCCAACATGTTTGTAGGATATGTTTTTCCATTGTCTTTCTGTCCTTTCTTGGCTCTAATATGTTTGGCATTTTTCCTTATATTTTTCCTTGTATTTTTCAATAGCTCAGTAGCTTCTTTTTTGCCAGAATCATATTTAAATGTCTTAGTTCTTTGTAAAGGTGAAGTTCCACTTTTAACTCTTGTCCTTTTACTTCCAACATGTTTGTAGGATATGTTTTTCCATTGTCTTTCTGTCCTTTCTAGGCTCTGATATATTTGGCATTTTCCCTTGTGTTTTTTCTTGTATTTTTCACTGTTCTCCGTTTAGCCCTCCTACTCAGTTTATTACGTATTGGGTCTTGATATCCTCCTTTTGCTGCTTCTAACTCCAGAGCATCTCTTGTTGGTTTCTTTGTACTAACCACTTGATTAATTTGGCTCTCACATCCTATTATAGGTAGAGTCACAATATCTTCTGGTAAATTTTCTTGGTTACATTCTAATTTTTTATCAATATCTTGCTGCAATAACAAAAGCTCTTCCTCATCCTTCCCCTTTAAAACGGAACCCAGTGGTCTCTCCCTGAGATTCTCGAATGCCGTCTTAACTGCTTGTTCAATCTCCTCACATAAAAGTTTTTTAAACTGTTCACAGGTTAGTTGCACGATTCGTATATTTTGCTCTTCCTCCGTTCCCTCCATTTCAAATGCCGTTTTCTTAATTTCACCTTTTACCCCACTGATAGCTTTTAGGTGCTTTTTACTCCCCGTTTCTCTTCCCGGCCATTCTTCCAATAGTGGGGGTCATTCAAGGGGTTTTTACAATACTAAGCGTCAGATTTTACAATTTGAGTTCGTACTCACATTTAACTCCTTGTTTTACCTTGTTTTGCTGCACATTATGTTTTGTATTATTTCAGTAGTCTTTAAAAAAAGTGGTTGTGTCTTTGCAAATCATGGCAGCCATGTTTGCTCCATTTCCTGTCTCCGCGTAGAAACATTCTCCTCCACCCTCGTTCGTTGCCACTCACGGGCTATCCGAGCAAGTCTTCTGCCCCCAGCCTCCCTCCAGAAGGTCTGGTGAAGCCCAACAAAGGTCCTGAGAACCCCGGGGAGCTTCTAAGAGACAAGGAAGGACGGGGTTGATCGGGAGCAGCCTGAACGAACACCCAGGATGATGCGCCACTTCCCTCTGCCTATTTTCTTCGTAAAATTCTAACTAGCAAGTGTTTTTCTGATTTCTTTTAAAGGATTATTGTCTCACTTTTTAGGCCTTGTCTGCTGTAGCTTCAGTAGTTTTACTGCAATACATGAAATCCAAATCTACCTGATCCTATGTAGTCTAGTCCTTAAACTAAACAAATTGCTATAACTGATTTAGGTGAATGGCTAGACTTACTCAGTAGAGATGGGCACAAACCAAACAACAAAGCCAAATCTGTCATAAATTTTGCCGTTTGTGGTCTGCAAATTGAATTTTGTAATGGATCCACTGTCTTGAACGTCCATGAACTTTTAAGGCAGTTCGTGTACAGACCAGAAAGCAGGGATTTAAGTTCAAAGGAACTGCACAAGAAAGTGCAAAAAAATAGCTGAGCAGTGGGGAACAGGCTGCTCCCTGCCACTCGGCTATTTTTCACGCTTTCTGCAAATCCTGTTTAAAAGGACTGTGGTCCCTTTCAATGGGGTTTGCGGGGCCACAAACTGGTTCATGAATGAATCTCCTGCTTAAATTCATTTCATGGTTTGGCCATGAACCACGAACTGACACAAACCACATGTTTCCAGTTCATGCCCATCCCTATTACTCAGCATATCTAATCCCCAGAGACTATAGGTGATAATTTCTTTGCTAAATTAATGCTGTGGCTGATGGGGATGACTGCAAGAATCACAACTGGAGTATGCAAAATTAGCTTCACAATGTAGGTGGGGTGTCCTGGGAGAAAAAGTACCTGTCTTTTCCAAGGGCACTTGCCAGTGCTGTGTTAACTACCAGATCAGAGTAGCAGCGGCTGATGATCAAACACATCCTGAAGTGATTACAAACGATGTACATACATTTAAAGTTCCTTACTGGCATGCATGAAAGGGTAGTAGAAGAAATGGACTGCAATAAGTAAATCTGCTGATAATTCCCTTGAGTTTATGCCAGGGCAAAATTGTCACTTTATAGTCTT